AGAGAGGGATAGGCAGTAGCTTGTTATAATTTAAAGAGACATGCACCAAACCAGGTTGCTGTGAACAGAATAAGCAGCAGATTCTGAGGAATAAGAATGTATATAATGCATTTCTTGATCCTCTTGTCCCTCTGTCGCTGAGAGTGAAGCCACAGATAGTGGGGGTGTTTGTGGATTATGAGGAGGGTCTTTTATGATGTGGAGTCTATAGGTCTCGTATCTTTTCGTTCACTGAACAGTCTTTCACAGAGAAGCTCTATCCATATTTTTGCCCAGCCTTAAAAACTGAAGGCAAAGAATCTGCACCACTGATCATCTCACCTGTTAATTACATCTGAATGAAAAAAAGAAGAAAGAAAATACTAAGTTGGCACAATTTGCATTTGTGAAAAAAAACTAATGTTGAATTAAAAAGAAGAGAACACAATAGGTGCAAATAAATGCCTGTCAAACCTGGGAATAGTTTCTGTTTCTTTCCAAAGCTTCCTCTCAAACGTCTGATCTGGGAGTTATGTACGTTTGGTGAGCTGTGGGTACAAAACTCTGCAAAATGGGCAGATTGCTTTACGGCAGCAGCACATGCATGTGTACTGCTGTCCACTGTAATGACGACAGTGATATAGCTTATTAATGACAGTGAATTCCATTCCAAATAATGTAACTACATTAATTTGCTTTAATGCAATGTTCATTTTATTTTTTATGATCTTTCTTGACAAAATTCATATTTTGAGATCTATGCCATATGATGGTAAAGGCTACACCTGCTTGGTGTTTTTTATATATATATATTAACATTCTCTATCCTTAAAAATACTCGAGACCACTTGAAGAACATAAGAATAGCGCATTTATGGCTTTTCGTTTTTAATAAAAATTCCACAATTTACATATATTGAAATGTTAATGCAATGTAGCAAAAGGCAATTGAGCTCACTATGGATGAAGGATAGAGTGTTTCACTTTATTTTGATGGTCCCTAACATTGCACCTACATAGTCTCATTAGAGTGTTAGTAGAGTATTCGTAGACTGGTAGGGTTAGGATTTGAATAAGCTGATATGTAATTGCATAGTTACTTATGATCAGTAGAATGTCTGTTGGGAGACTATCACAATAAAGAGTTGGCAGATATTAAGCGGACAGTCTACTAACACTAATAAACACTAATAAAAGTTAAAAGACATGTAGGTGCAATGTTACTTATTGTCAACATAATGTTCAAAAGGGACCATCAAAATAAAGTTTTATCCTGTTCAAACTGTCTCTTTAGAGGATTAAAATATAGAATGGCAATTTATAAGTTATGTATTTTTGCATCCATTAAATAAAGCCTGTTTCCATGATCTTAATGTTTTTTTTATTGACTGACATTAGTACAATAAATACAAACTGTATATTGACATTAGTGTTTTGTCATTTATTGCATCAGCATACTTCAATTACAGTTAAATATTGTTTAATATAATTCTTCATATATGTTTATTTATTTATTTTTGAATTTCAGCATTGGACTGTAACATACAACTGTCACACCCCTGTGGACTGTCGATTATGGTTTCTCCCTCTGTGTCCTTATTTGGTTGTTCCTGTTCCCATTATTAGTTAATCACCTCATTGTGTTCACCTGTCTGCCCCTCATTATCTGCCCTATAAGTTCCTGTCTCTTGTATCCTAGTGTTGTCAGTTATTGTGAATGTTACCCTGTGCGTGTGCGCCTACCCTCTCGTGTAATCATTAAAGTGTTCTGGTATCCTTCATCCTCGTCTTCCTGCCTGTTCCCTGGCACAGCCAATGTGACAGAATAACTGACCTGAAAAATGAGATGTCAACGGCTGAAGACAGGCTTTGGTGTCTGCGGCAGGGTGGTCGGGATTTGGAGAGGTATGTGGAGGAGTTCCTAGAGCTCTCTCACCAGGTGAGCTGGGTGGATTCTGTCCTCGGGGTCTGTTTTCGGTTGGGGCTGGATGATGACATCATCAGCGGTGCGGTTCCCACGTATAGCTTTCCCCTGATCGAGCTGGTTAATCAGGTCCTGTATCTGAATGGCGTTAATATGGAGGTAGAAGAAGTTGGTCTTCCTGAGTCGAGTCTAGTCACAGCTGATAGTCATGAGTCTAGTCAGATCTCAGCTGATCATCCAGAGTCACGACACATGACGCCTGGTTGCTCTAAATCCTGTCACTTCCTGTCTGTTGCACCCAGATCTAGGCCGTATCCCAGACTGGCTTCCAGCATGGAGGACCCACCGCTGGTGTCCAATGCCACGGAGGATCTACCACGGCCTCCCGAGGTCCCCCGCTCCGCCGCGGCCTCCTGAGTATCCGGCCCCGCCGCGGGTTCCCGAGGTCCCTGCTCCGCCATGGTTCCCGGAGGTCCCTGCTCCGCCGCCCCCCCCGATGATACGGTTATGGCAATTTTGGGGGGGGGGCCATACACCCGTGGCCGAGCCAGCCAAGGCCACGGAGGATCTACCACGGCCTCCCGAGGTCCCCCGCTCCGCCGCGGCCTCCCGAGTATCCGGCTCCGCCGCGGGTTCCCGAGGTCCCTGCTCCGCCATGGTTCCCGGAGGTCCCTGCTCCCGCGCCTTCCGGGAGGGGGGCGATCTGTCACACCCCTGTGGACTGTCGATTATGGTTTCTCCCTCTGTGTCCTTATTTGGTTGTTCCTGTTCCCATTATTAGTTAATCACCTCATTGTGTTCACCTGTCTGCCCCTCATTATCTGCCCTATAAGTTCCTGTCTCTTGTATCCTAGTGTTGTCAGTTATTGTGAATGTTACCCTGTGCGTGTGCTCCTACCCTCTCGTGTAATCATTAAAGTGTTCTGGTATCCTTCATCCTCGTCTTTCTGCCTGTTCCCTGGCACAGCCAATGTGACAACAACATTGTGACTGTTAATTTAAATTTTTTTTTTTTAAATACTATTAATAGTACTTAAATATTATTAGAATGATTAAGAATATTGCATCAACTTCAATTACAGTTGTACAATCTGGGTGTTGCTTTATTTTAATATAGTTCTTCGTGAATTTCAGTTAGGCTATATATACTTCAGCATTGGATAGTAATATATAAAACATTGTGACTGTTAATTTAATTATTTTTTAAAAAGCGTAATACTATTAAATATTATTCAAATTAAGAATATAAGGTTTAAAAAATGAGTAATTCATTACTATGACGCCAGTGACAAAAATAAAATTATTATTCTAGATTGTCCAGGAAGTACAGAGGCAAAAGTCAAACCCACTGGAGGTTTGTATTAATGAATAACTCCAGAGGCGAACCATGCAGTCTCAGGTTGGTCTGTTGTGGCTCTAGGAGAGGCAAATGGCTCAGAGGCATTTTGAGGGAAAAGAACATGCTGAATCTTACCAGCGGTACCGGGTGTCTCCTCCTCAGGAACTCGTAGATGAAGTGCTGAATTTCCTTCGAAAAAGAGTAGGCTGTGTGAGATGTGTGTTTAAAAACTTTTGTAAGAATGACTCAGCATTTTGTGCATATGACAGTGTTTTACTTGTCTTTATTGAGGCTAAACTATAGAAAATGATCAAGGAACTGAGAATCAAAGCTGTATCATTGTTTAGTTTATGAAACAGTGACCCTTGAGACATCCCACCTTTCCCAGAAGGCCCGGGGGTTTCCCGCATACTGATAAAGGCTAGCTCCCTGACGCCCGCAGATTATAGGCTATATCTGAATTTCTGTTTCCACCTGGTATAGATGTGTTTTTGTGATCCGATCACAAATAGTCAAGATTACTGTTATCACGCGTCTTCCTGTGACCACTTGTGTTTGAACTTAAGTGCTGACGTAAGGAATGCTGTTTCTGGGTCCAAGCCTCATCTCGTTTCACTTGAGAAACTCAGTTTATAAACACTGTTTATTCATATTAAATATTTCAGCTAAACGTTTTCAGACTTACGGTGTACAGGACACTCTCCGTGCTCACAGCGTCCCAAACACAACTCATTTTTATATTTATTTATTTATAGGCCTATTTATATTTTCATTGTCTGATCTGGGATTTCGGTATGGAGTTAAAGGTTAGGATTATAATTTTTTTGGTAGTATTATATCACATTGTGAATGTAGACCTATATTAGCACCATTTGTTGTTTTCTCGTGGCATCTGATAGAGCATTATTATTATTATTATTATTATCATCATCATCATTAATCAGAACAAAATATACAACAGTATACAAAAATGTACATAACATGCCAGAGTATACAAACCATTGATTCATGAATCAAAACTGCATATTCGTGAAAAATATTACAAATCCAATTTGCTTTATTATTATTATTATTATTATTATTATTATTATTATTATTATTATTATTATTATTACCAATGTTCTCCAACTTGGTGCAGTAGTCCTTATCTCTTGAAGAAAATTAATGAAATTTGGCTTGGATCCTGACCATTGCTTATTAAGTAGCCTACGTGAAATTTTCCCAAAATAATAAGGCTACATATGTGACCCTGGACCACAAAACCAGTCATAAGGGTCAATTTTTCGAAAATATAAAAACACACCAGCTGAAAGCTGAATAAAAAAGCTTTCCATTGATGTATGGTTTGTTAGGATAGGACAATATTTGGCCGAGGTGCAACTGTTTGAAAATCTGGAATCTGAGGATGCAAAAAAATCTAAATATTGAGAAAATCACCTTTAAAGTTGTCCGAATTACGTTCTTAGCAATGCATACTACTAATCAAAAATTAAGTTTTTGATATATTTACAGTAGGAAATTTACAAAATATCTTAATGGAACATGATCTTTGCTTAATATCCTAATGATTTTTGGCATAAAAGAAAAATCTATAATTTTGACCCAAACAATGTATTTTTGGCTATTGCTACAAACATACCCCAGCGACTTAAGACTGCTTTTGTGCTCCAGGGTCACATATATCAAAATTATTTAATTTGAATATAATATTTGTTTTCCTTCTAATGAAATTTTCCATATCCACCCAGCAATTCCTTGTGTATACACAATTACAAAACAGATGGACAATAGACTCCTTTTTCCACTGAACAAAAATCACAGGAATAATCAATATCCTAATTAAATCTCTCTAACACACTTTTAGCTGGATATATACCATGTGAAATATTACATGTAACCTCTTTTACTTTACAGGTTACTTTACTACGCCAGGCTTTATTCCAATTTATATTTCTAAATGCATTGGTCCACAATAAGCCTTTATAAGTATCTGTATCACCTGCTATAATATCCCTAATATATTTGAAGAGTTTATTTACAAAAAAAACAAATAACTCAGTTTTTAAAAATCATGTTTTTTTATTATGTGGTCATGTTTTTGTTGTGTTTTATTGTGGTTTACGCAAATAAATATAGGCTTAATATGATTTTATATTTATTCACATTTAAGGTCCATTTACTGCATTAATTAAATAAAAAAAAGTAAACATAAATAAAACTGATGTCATCATTTGTACACCCTCATTGTCTGAAATCTTTCATTTTTCTTTAGTTGGACACAAAATGCCAGATTTTTCAGATCGCATGATGTCAGAAGACTATAAAAAGGCAATAAATGAAGACAGGCTACAAATTTTCGGTAAAAATTTCGATAAGCGATTTCGGTAGCGCTTAACTCTAATGTCTTGCATGCAGAAGAGCAGCCTGGACTTATTTTGAGCTATATGTAAAAAAAGAAATAAAATATGATTTAGAACACAATGAGGGTGAATAAATAATAACAGAATTTTAAGTATCCTTGTAGTCTTCAAATTCTGGTTAAAGTCATCTTTTTAAAACACAGGAGCATTACTCTGTTTTACCTCTGTGAACAGATCCAGGGCTATCTCGATCTGGCAGTGGATGTGGGCTGTGGATCAGGACAGGGCACTGAGCTACTCGCCCCTCACTTTCTCACTGTGGTCGGGATAGATGTCAGTCCAGCTCAACTGGAGATAGCTAGTGCCAAAGAGCATGCACCAAATGTGTGTTACAGGTATACAATAACTACATAAACACCTACAAGAAAATATAGACCTGAAGAACAATTCCTCATTTCATTATCTTTAAAAAACTATAACAATAATATGGTGAGAGTATCATATATGATGGTACTGACAAGATACTTCAAAGAATATCAAGGTACACGTCGCATATCTAAAACAATGATAACCATGATACCATATTTTTATTTTTTGGTTCTTTTTTAGTTAGTGAATGTTCTTGATTAAACCTCACTATAGTGCGTTCAGGTCACATTCAACCTGACATGAATGAGTGAGTGAATGGATGAATGAATAAATAAATGACTGTAAAGGACCATTAAGATTATTTTTATGGCAAAAAAAAAAATATATATATATTTTTTTTTGCATAATAGATTTAATATACATAAAGTTATAAATAATCACATAAAAATAAAAATTATTTTAAAATTACATTTCGTGAAATTTTCATGGCAGTCTTGTGCATAAATGCATTTTTAAATTTTTAAATGTTAGATTGATTTTGACATGGACACATTTTTATAAGGTTTAATACTGAACATTCATTAAATATATTTGGTATATTTTGGTAATTTTATAATTATATATATATATATATATATATACGTTGAATTTGTATAATTTTATATATTTTTTTTATAAAACTAGGTTTTTATCATCTTTTTAAAAATCTTTTTGTGCTAGCTTATTTCCACTACAGTTTATACTCGCACTATAAATAACTCTGTTTATCCTATACTAAAATAATTTTGTACATTAAAAATGTTTTTTTTTTTTTACTAACTGATTTAATATACACAAGTTTACCCACACACAAAAAAGTCAAATTAATTGAGATGGAAATCTTCATGGTCTGAACAACTGACTTTCTCATGCATTGTTCCCCCACTTTCGTAAGGTTTAATCCTGAACATTTATGAACTAAAAAGTAAATATATACCTACACACGCAGTGTATGTACAAAAAAATATATACATTTACAGTTTTTATGTTATATTTTTAGTTATGTTTTTATCCACTTTTAAAAATCTTTCAAATCTTTTTCTCATTTTGTTTCCCGGTACAGTTTATGCTCACACTATTTATAACTCTGTTCATCCCGCTCCATTAGACAGAGCCCTGCAGAGGAGTTGCCCTTTGAAGATGATGTGGCTGACTTGGTTACATCCATGTCTGCTGCTCACTGGTTTGACCATCCGCGCTTCCTGCGGGAGGCGGACAGGATTCTGAGGCCAGGAGGCTGCCTCGCTCTGCTCAGCTACACCATGGATTTTGAGCTGGAATATGGAGAACGCACCTCCAAACTCAATGAAATCTGCCAAGAGGTTAAATAAACCAACACAATGTTTTATGGGTTGTTGTTGAGGAAACCTGCATTCTAAATTCTTGATATGAGACAACACGTGTGTGACCTGCTGCTTTATTTGAATGGAATGGTATCCTTGCACTAGAGATCTTCAGTGTAAATTGTATTTTTGATTCACAGTTCTATGCAGCCCTGCACCCTTTTCGGAAAGCTTATATAGGATCCAGTTCCCTAGAGGTCTACAAGAAGATCTATGACTCTGTGTCATACATTGATAAAGAGTGGTAAGTGTGAGTTTTATTACACGCTTTTATTGCATAGTACCTTTGCAATAATCCTGTAAAAATATATATATATTTTTTGCTTAAGGTAAATAAAAAAAATAAATTATTAAGAATATTTTAGATATAGCTTAATATTATATAATATTATATTAATGTTATAAATACTAAGAAGACTCAATTTTCGTCATGCAAAAATAATATTTGATAGATTTGAATTCCTGTATTTGTTTTCAGGCATGAATGTCTGAGGTGTCGGATGATTATGCCGCTGTCAGGGTTTATCGGCTTGGTTGAAACCTTCTCTACCTATCAAGATTTCCTGGAGAAAGATCCTGTTGAGGCCAAGAGACTGTCTCAGACCATCACAGACTGGTAAAACAATTAAATAAATCAAAAATCATGCTCTGAAAGAAGCAATAGCCAATGGATTTGCTCCAGTGTAACGCATTCAATTAAATCAAATCACCATACTAAAATAGAATATCAAGAGTGGTGTGATAATCTAAATAATCAAGTCAACACATTATCATTTTTATTTATTTTTTGTTATTAATTCACGTATTTCAGAAATGTTAATATATAATATTTATAAAACGGCATACTGCTAATTAATAATTTTTGATTGAGTTATATTTCATTTTATTTGTATTATTCTACATTAAATTTTTTTTTCAGGTTGTTGGAAGAAATGGGAGCCACATCAACTGACACAGAAGTAACAGTGGTAGTGAAATATTTCTATTTATTAGCCTCTAAACCACAGAAATCCTAAAATTATGTTTCAATCCCACAGAACCCTCTCTGTTTAAAAATGTGTCTCAATATTTCTAAAAACAATAAAGCATTTGTGTTTTATTTCTGTTCTGAAAATTTTAAACAATAAACACTCAACATCAAACTTGCATTATTATATCATGAGTTTAATAAACACGATCAAATAAAAATTAGATATAGTGCTCTTATCTCATGTAGCTTTGCACAAAAGAGCGGAATTTTTCTTTGTGGCGTTTGATTCCACACGGACTTTTTATTGAATGAACGAAACAACTTCCGGCTTCTACACCGCTCAGGCAGTTTAATCATTAAACGCAGACCGGAACTAATCTGCGCAGCATTCCTCTCAATTCTATTTCTTTTAACGACATTTAGCGTCTATTATTTAGAAGTTATTTGGGGGGAAACGGTGTAAAATTCAGTTTGAGAGTCCTGATTATGGTGTAAACGGGGCAGTTCAGTGACTGACAGCGGCAGGTAAGTGTAATATATGGATCGCAGCCGAGTTATTTGACATTTTTAGAGTTGCATTATGAAAGTAAAATCTTTTAACCCCTATGTTTCAGTATATAACAAGACATTAATCTCAGTTTCGATATAAATAATACACTGTGTAATGGGAATCAAGGTGTAGTTGATAATGAACATGTTAGCACAATAACGGCTCAAACCAAACCGGTAACTGATGATTATGAAAATGGGTATTGTTTTATTCCATAACATCTGTGTCTGATAAGCTCGTTATAGTCTCTACAATTTAGAAATGGGTTAAGAGTTTTAATATTCCCGGACAGAAAGCGCTGTAGCGGTACCGGGTTATAGTAACAGATGGTAATACCATGGTACTTTGATTTATATAGTTCCTGTACCATGGTATTTACATGGCGTTCCAAGGTACTTAAAAGAATACCATGGTATTAACACAGTACATGTTTAGAAACATGGTATTGCATTGTATTACACGTCCACAAAATGTTGTAGTTTGTAGTTCATATTGGAGACATGCCTATTACCGTGAAAACCAAAACATGGTAAAACCATGGTGCTTGATTCTTTCACATTAGAGCTGTTGGTCTTTTGTGTGCAATTGAAGCTGTATACATTGTGGGAATTTAGTAAAATATTTAGCCAGTCTGTTTTTCTCCCAGTATCATATTGTTGTTATTTAAAGTGGTCATATGATGCGATTTCAAGTTTTCCTTTCTCTTTGGAGTGTTACAAGCTGATTGTGCATAGATAAGAATACCATGGTACTTTGACTTATATAGTTCCTGTACCATGGTATTTACATGGCGTTCCAAGGTACTTAAAAGAATACCATGGTATTGACACAGTACATGTTTAGAAACATGGTATTGCATTGTATTACACGTCCACAAAATGTTGTAGTTCATATTAGAGACATGCCTATTACCGTGAAAACCAAAACATGGTAAAACCATGGTGCTTGATTCTTTCACATTAGAGCTGTTGGTCTTTTGTGTGCAATTGAAGCTGTATACATTGTGGGAATTTAGTAAAATATTTAGCAAGTCTGTTTTTCTCCCAGTATCATATTGTTGTTATTTAAAGGGGTCATATGATGCGATTTCAAGTTTTCCTTTCTCTTTGGAGTGTTACAAGCTGATTGTGCATAGATAAGATCCCTGAAGCACATCACAGTGGAGTCAGCTGTCTTAACCGTGGCTTGTGTACTGCAAACACATACCAGCTTCATCACAGTGTCTGTCACGCGACTCTGTTCCCCTTTCGGGCTCTGCCTTTACATTTATTTTGAAAGATGAAGCTCACGATTATGGTAAGGGTATGGTACGTTTCCGACGTGCTTGCGGTGTTCGGCCAATCACAATGCACCGGGTCAGCTGGCCAATCAGAGCAGACTGCGCTTGTCGGAAGGAGGGACTTCGTAGAAAACAAAGCGTTTGAGAGAGGCGGGGCATAGAGGACTTACAATAATGTACAGTATTTGAAAAATAATGTGTTTTTTTGAACATTAAAGCATGTCAACATATTCTGTTGCACCAAATACACAAAATAATGATCTTTAAAAAAGCATCATATGACCCCTTTAAGTAATGGTCCGTAGTATAATGTGATACGAGTCCATACAAAATAACTGTCTTATGCTTTATTTGAACTCCAGTGTGGTTTGCAATTTGAATAAAAGCAGTCTGTTCTAAACCAATTATGTTAATTGCTGTTGATGACATAGTTTGCATGATCTTTGCAAACTCACTTATAATAATGCATTACAAGTAGCTGCTTGTTTCAGAATACAAAAACAAGTGAACCTGAATAAATTATAATTGATGTACACACTTTAGCAGTTCACTCCTGCTATTGTTCATTCAAAGCTTGTTAAATTGTATGTTTCTAAAAAGTATTCTTGCTGTATTCAATATGACCCCAAATAGATTAGACAAAATATTATTCTGAAAAGTTCATGCCTGCTTTATGATATAAAACAACAGAGGATTAAAGCTTCAATAACACAATGATTTTGCAGATTTGGAATGAAGTCAGATAACGTGGCTAGGGTTGCAAAGGGGTGGGAAATTTCCGGTAACTTTCCAAAAATCCCTGGAATATTCCAAAAAATCCTGAAAAGTTTCAAAACTTTCTGGAATATTTCCAAAATTTACTGGAAATGTTCCACCTTTTTGCAACCCTAAACGTGGCATAAAATAATTATACAAAGCTATTTTAATGAATGTGTTAACCAACACTGAGAGACGCTATTTAAATTTGTATTAATAGTTTGAATTAGGTTTTATTTATGACGTATTTATGTTTTCCATTATTTAAAAGTTTTTGTTTATATGTCTATATAGTTTGTATTCATTTTTATTTCAGTTTGAGTTATTTTGGTACATCACTTAAAACTAAATGAAAATGAGTAATGTCTTATTGGCAACTAGCTGAAATAAAATGTTTAGCCCCCCTTTTTTATATTTTATTTTATTGAGTTAACATTTACTTTATTTCAAGCAACAAAAAGGTTCAATTTAGTTAAGTACAACGACCATGGTGTTCACCATCTTTGTTTGTGTTTCTCACAGGTGTGTGAGAGTGTGTATGTTGGTCTGCTGGTATGCTGACGTTAGCCAGTAAGCTGAAGAGGGAGGAGGGCGTGAGGGCCGGCCGGACCTCTGCAGGCTCCAACGATGCCTCTCATAGAGTGTCCGTCAGAGATCGACTGCTCATCAAAGGTACCATTCACTGACCAAACACTCCTCCTGTCTGCTGGGATCATGATACTGGAGCAGTGGTTCATGACCAGTTATTCAGTCTGTTCTGATAGGGTCACGGACGAATTAGGCATGACTGTTTTGTGTGACATGATTTTATCCACAAAAACCATAAAGGAATAGTTCACTCAAAAATAAAAAATGTTGTCATCATTTACTCAACTCAACTCAACTCGTCTGTCTAGTGTTCTATCTAGTGTTATGTCATCTGTTTCTCTGTCTGTCTATCTATGTATTGTTTGTTCTATCATTCATTCTGTTGTCTATCCATCCATCTATCTATCTATCTATCTATCTATCTATCTATCTATCTATCTATCTATCTCTATCTGTCTATCTGTCTGTCTATTGTTCTGTCATCTGTCTGTCTGTTTATCTATGTATCATTTGTTCTGTCTGTCTGTCTGTCATTCTATCTAGTACCATTCACTGACCAAACACTCCTCCTGTCTGCTGGGATCATGATACTGGAGCAGTGGTTCATGACCAGTTATTCAGTCTGTTCTGATAGGGTCACGGACGAATTAGGCATGACTGTTTTGTGTGACATGATTTTATCCACAAAAACCATAAAGGAATAGTTCACTCAAAAATAAAAAATGTTGTCATCATTTACTCAACTCAACTCAACTCGTCTGTCTGTCTGTCTGTCTAGTGTTCTATCTAGTGTTATGTCATCTGTTTCTCTGTCTGTCTATCTATGTATTGTTTGTTCTATCATTCATTCTGTTGTCTATCCATCTATCTATCTATCTATCTATCTATCTATCTATCTATCTATCTA